ATGTTGTGCCATGTTGGGGTGTGTCTAAGGATGTCAGAGTGTGTCTGTGGGCTCTGCCTTTGTTCTGCTCTGTGCTGTAGCCTGGTCTGGTCCCCCCTTGCCTCCCCTCTCTTCCCTGTTTCCTCTGCCCTTATGCCATTCCCACTATGCTGGGTTTGGAGGGGGAATGCAAATCCCGGGCTAGGAGCCACCTCTCCCCACCAAAAGTTCCACCCCTTCCCCTCTCCATTATCTCTGATGGTCCTCATCCATGTCAGCCACCGTCACACCCAAGAATATGTTTTTCTACGACTTCATGAAGCCCTGGCTGGGTGAGTAACTGTGGGTAAATGGGGTTGGGGAAAACCTTTAGGGCCAGGGTAAGTTACTGCCCTTGCCCACTCCCCATGGCTGCCTCTACTAGGGGATGGGCTTCTGCTAAGTGCTGGTGACAAGTGGAGCCACCACCGCCACTTGCTGACACCCGCTTTCCACTTTGAAATATTGAAGCCATATACGAAGATTTTCAACAAGAGTGCAGACATCATGCATGTGAGTTCCTTGAACCCAGTATCCCGGCTGGAACCTTGGGAAAGGGAGAGTGGTTTCAGACACATATTGTCTGGATTCTTGGCTCTGTTGGATGGCTTTGGGCCCATTGCTTTTCCTCTCCAAGCCTTAGTTTCCTCATCTGTAAAACTGACATAATAATCTTTTTTAAAAGGTGATCAAGATGATGTTAAGGGATCATGTTCCTGGCACTAGTAGATGTTCAGAAGGCTTTAATTTCTAGTCTGCTCACTGAAGCTCTCTAAATTCAAGATCGTAATGATGAAGAGTGAATAGTAGCTCTTTCCGCATAACACAAGACCTTAAAACTCATGAGCTTGAAAAAATTAGTGTTTGTTGTTGCTCGTGAGGTTTTGGGTCAGTCGAGGAGTTCTTGGCTGGAATCATTCAATGTGTGTGTGCATGGCTGAGTTCAGTAGACAGTTCTGCTTATCCAGGCTCAGCTCTGTCACATGTTTGGGGCTCTACTACTAGCTGTTAGCTTGTCTAGGTCAGCCTTGGTGGGATAACTGGACTCCTGTATTTGCCTTTCATTTTCTAGTAAGCTAGGCTAGGCTTATTTGTATGGAGGAAACTATGTTCCAGGAGAATGAGCAGAACATGCAGTGCCTCTTGAAGCCTAGTTTCAAAATTAGTACATTATCATTTCCATCTTCTATTGGCTGAAGCAAATCCCACATCCAGCTTGGATTCAAGAAGTGGAGAAAGAGGTTCTACCTCCTAACGGAAAAGCTGCAGAGTTTCATCATAAAGGATGAGGATATAGGGAGGGACAAAGAAATATGGACATTTTTATATAACCTACCTCTATGATAGTAATGAAGATGGTGATGATAGCTAACAGCTACTTAGCACTTACTGTATTCCAGAAACAATGTGCCAATTCTATGGCATATGTTGTCTAATTTAATTTTAACAGCCTCATGGAATAAAGATGATGATTATTGCCACTTTACAAATGATGAAATAGAACATCAGAGAGATTAGGGAACTAGCCCAAGTTCACATAGCTAGTAAGCGAGTTATGAATGGTGGATCAGGGATTCTAACCTGGTTTACCTAACACCGAAGGAGGTCATCTTAACTGTTACTGAAGATTTGACAGGTGGAGCCCAGAGGAGGGCAGTGAATTGACCAAGAGCACACAGAGCATAAGAGGCAGAGCTGGACCTTGAACCCAGGTCTCCTGACTCAGGCCATGGGGTCTTCATGTCTTAAGAGTAACAGCTTACACTTCAACTCAAGCCTGTTCCTCCCTGGGGAGGAGTGCCTGGGGCAGAGGACCAAGAAGCTGGGTCTGGGGCAGTCCATCCAGGTGGTTAGGAGTTTAGAGGGGTTCCAGGGAGGCAGTTCCCAGCCTCAGCTCTGCCCTTTTCTCTGTCCAGGCCAAGTGGCAGCACCTGGCTTCAGAGGGCAGTGCCCGTCTGGACATATTTGAACACATCAGTCTCATGACCCTGGACAGTTTGCAGAAATGCATCTTCAGTTTTGACAGCAATTGCCAGGCGTGAGTCTCTGCCCAGAGCCTAGGAACATGAGCCATAGACCCAAGGGAGCAGATGGA